TGGTGAGGAGGAGTTGCTGCAGCTGCGTGAACACCAAGGTCAGTGGAGGAACGGAGGAAGAAAGGAGGGGGGAGGTGTGCCGGAGCAGAGACCCCCCTGTATCCTGTGGTGAGACGGCAGGGCGGCCCCCCCTGCCACCCATGGAGATCTACGGTGGAGCAGACATTGATTTATGGCCTGTTGCTCCTGCTCAGCTGATCAAGGTGCTGCACCCGAAGAAGGCTGGGGTCTCATGGGAAAAGGCAGCCCCGCTGCTGTAATTCAGTGCTGGGAGGATTGCAGCATGCGGGGGAGTCCCACGCCGGAGCAGCTCGGGAAGGGCTGCAGCCGTGGGAGGGAATCCAGTCGGAGGAAGTTGGTGACCCATGACGGAGCAGTGTGGGGAACGCTGCGGCCCATGGGAGGAACTCAAGTCGGAGAAAGTTTGTGGAGGACTGTCTGCTGTGAGAGGGGGACCACGACGGAGCAGGAGGAACAAGTTCCGGACACTCCCCTCACCGAAGATGAAGGAAGTGGCAGCGCTGCCTGCACCCCCCATTCCCTGCCCCTGCGCCACTGGGGGAGGACGTAGAGATATCAGGAGCAGAGCTGAGCCCGGGAAGAAGGGAGGGGTGGGGGGAAGGTGTTCTCAAGATGGGGCAATGCTTCTCACTGTCCTACTCTGTTACGTGTTGTTAGTGTCTGTAATAAATGTATGTTCTTTTTTTTTCTTCCCCTAACGAGTCTGCCTTTTGCTCATGATCATAAAAGGGGGATTTTCCCCCATCCCAGTCCTATCTTGAACCCCAAGCCTGGCTCTCTGTCCCTTCTCATTGCTGGAGGGGAAGGGAGAGAGAGCTGCTGCATTGGGGTTGGCTGCCAACCAGGCCTAAACCACAGCACAGGCGTTGCTCCTGTCACAAGGATGGTACTTAAGTGCCTCAAAGAGGTCAGCAGCAAAAAGGAAAGCATCTCCTTCCTCGCATGTGTTGAGCTGACAGGGTTGAAGTGTCAGAATTATAATAAGCGCCCCCAAAAAAATGCTGAAAATGGATTTGTAAGAATTAGGAGATTTGACACGGTGATTGAAAAAAAAAAAAAAAAAATATCTTTTCAGCATTATTTCTTTAGAAAAACGTCTTCAAACAATGCGACCTGTTAATTTTTAATTCAGGCCTAAAAATATCCTCTGATTTTATGCCTGTCTGAAAGATGAGAGAAGAGATGTTAAAAAAAAAAAAAAAAATTCACTGCCCTTGAAGTAGGAAGGGACTAAGGGATGTGGATTTTTAACCCAGCTATCCAAATTTCTATTTCCATCTTTCTGTGGACAGTTTGCACAGGTATACATCAAATTGGGGGCTAAAAAAAAAAAAAATCATCCAGCAAGGGTCACAGTTTGGTTTAATTCTTGTAGAAAAAGCACTACACCCACAGACATGGGGAGGGAGGGCAGACTGAAAAAAAATAATAGCTATGATTCTCTACCTTTTTTTTTTTTTTTTCCCTCATAAAATCAGAAAAAGATGCAAAGCAAGTTAAATCATATTCCTGGAGTCCATCATTTTTATTTAGTTGGAACTTGATCTCGTGGCAAATTATGAGAATGGGAATCAGAGTTATCAGTGTCTCCTCCATGCTTGTGCTATTGATTTTCCTGAGAAAATTATTTAATTTTTTTAAATCTATCGGCAAAATGGGGCTAACAATGCTGACTGATGTAATATGCTTAAAGCTCTTGAGATTCAGCAAGGAAAGACATTTCAGAAATCCAAGGGGCTCTACGCATTGAAAAAAACTGATAAGCTTTGGTATTGTTGTCACATTTTCGTTAATAGAAATGCCATGAGGAGCAAAGACTCGAACTTTTATTTTAGCGTTCCAGTAGACGCGTGAAGAAAGGGGCAGAATTTTGACGATGCTACTGTTTGCTGGATGTCCAAAAATCTTACCCTTCTCTCCCAGTTGAGAAAAACCCAGTCTGGTTTGGGCACTCTGGAAACTCCCTTGGCTCTGCCCGGGGACAAAGCCACTGCCTTCTGCGCTCCGGCTTACCGCCCGTAAGGCTTTTTGAATTTCCCGACGCTCGCGGCACGCGTGTACGAATGCAGGATAAAATAGCCGGACCAAAATTGTATTTTAATACAAATTTATATAGGGATGGTATTTCCTGAGCTACATTTCTGCTGTGTTACTGCTTGAAGGAATTCCGTCTAGTACGTCGTACCCCCGTTTTTACTGAAAGGGGGTTTTGTCAGCTTGTTCCTGACTTTCTCTAACAGAAGGTACGTGCAAATCATCAAAACTTAGTTTTCACTAGGGCAGATTTTTTGGTTTGTTTTTTTTTTTGGTTTAAGGAGTGTGACGTCATTTATATTTCCAGCAAGAAGGACAGGGCCTCCCCGCCATGCTCCCAGGGACGTCGGGCAGGATCTTTCCCGTCACGTCACCGCCTTGGCCCGAACTTCTCCCGGGCTGCTCCCTGAGCACGGGCTCGGAGGAGGAGAGCGAGGGATCCCGGCAGCCCCCCTCCGCGGAGCTGGCCCGGGGCTAATTACCTCCCCACTGCGCTGACTCTAACCTGACGTGTTTATTGCCTTCGCTAACAACTCATTAGCTTAGTTGATGCTTTTGTCAATATTCATTCCTTCGTTTAAGCCAAGTCCGAGCTTAAACAAAGATGTCCAGGCTGAGAAACGGGCGGTAGACTGACTTTAGTTTAGTTCATCTTTTCCCTTCGCTCAGTTTGCCCAAGGCAGGTGTGGGCAGGAGCAGTGCCGGGAGGGCCCCTCTGGAAAAGGTCGGCGTCATTCAGTGCACCCGTGTCTGAGCAGTGACGCTTTTTCACAAGGTTCTTCTCTTTGAGACACCAAAATTCACACAAAGCAGAGCTCCGTGGCCCGCCACGCGCTTCAGGCAGAAGCTTCAGTTCGTTACGCACCTGCGAGGGGTTAGTGTGGATGGGCTAGAAAAGCGCGCCTGCTGTCGGCTTTTCCCAACGCTTCACATTTGATAAAACAAACAGCTCATAGAGGACAGTTCTGAAAACTACAGAAAACCCTGTTAAAATCAATAGGTCACCTTTCTCACAATAGCAAGCTAAATGAAGGTTATTAAGAGGCAGCAAGTAATTATGTCGAGATAATAACAAATTACCTGGAAGCGTTGCTTGTTTTAGCCCTCCTACACATTTGTGATTATTTTAAAACAGTCTATTAAATGAAATTATTAATCGTGTTCCCGCAATGCGCAGAGCCCGGATCAGAGTTCAGGTACGCTGAACTTGTTTGGGACGTCATTTCTCTCTCTCCCCCGCCCGGCCTTTGAGTTCGATTTCTCCCTAAAAGACCAAAAAAAAAAAGGCTTTGCAGGGGGGAGGGAGAGTAGTGAAGTGCCCGAGTTAGGCGTGCAGCCCCCGGGAAGGGAGGCGGTGCCGCGGGTGGGTTTGGGGAAATCCATGGGTCTCCTCCTTCCAGCTCCTGGTGCCGCTTTCAGTGAGGCGGGGGGGGGACCGCTGCCAGCTTCTGTTTGCCTTGGAGGGGCCGGTGCTGATGCGGAGTTTTAACGGAAACGTCTGAATGGCCAGGATGCTCAAATGTAACAGAAATGACCCAAAACTCAGTTCCCGCACGGGCAAGGAGCTCGAGCTCACATCTCTAACTGACCTTCACGGCCAATTCCCCAGCCCTTCAAAGGCGGAGCCGTGTCCGGCGGTTCCTGCTGAAACTCTGCCGCGGTTTTTCTTTAAAAAACACCGACTTAGGGGTCAAAAAGCAAGCAGAGCTCTTCAGCGTGGGGGTTTGGAGCCTCCCCCGGTACCGGCCGCTTTTTGCCTTTTCCCTGAGGAGCTGCCTGGTTTATCCACGGGTGCTCAGCGTCGGGGAAGCGACCCGGCTCAAAACAGCCCTGCCCCAAAACTTGAGGGCGCCGCATCGATGATAATCGTAATTCAAGCAGCCAAACCAAAAAAAAAAAAAAAAAAAATCTTCGCCTGTGAGATAGGCGTGAGGCAAGGCCGGCAGTGGGTCTGTTAAAAATCAACATCCCTGCCCGTTTCAGAGGTGACGCCGTCGTGCTGTAGCACAGGGTGTTGATTAAAGAGCAGAGCTGATCGTGCCACCCCCCCCCCTTTGGAAACAAGCGGTTGTGTTGGTGACTTTGACTGATTTTTGCTGTTTCTCACTCGGTGAAGCACACGGAGCACGAGCCGCCTCTAGCCGCAGCCGAGATACTGAACAAGCAGCGTGTAAACTCACCGTGGTTTATTTTCACCGATGCTGTCCCGAGTTCAACCTTTTTCAGCTTGTTTTCCTCAGGCGCCCTTTCAAAATGATGTACTTCTTTTTCTGAGAAAAACTTTATTACCTACGTTAATATTATTACAGATTTCAGGGTTTTCTTAGCAAGTGTCTGCTGAAGGGAAGGATTATTTTATCATTCCCGTTTTGATTTATGTTAGTTCTGTTTTGATTTATTCTGATTTTTTTTTTTTTTAAGGCACAATTTTCAGGCAGAAATACATAAGCGTGGAGACTTCGCCTGTCTTTTCTAAAAGTACGAGCAGTGCCTTTTTGCAGTGAAAACGGTGTGTTGGAGCCCGTTGGCGTGGGGGCACCGCGCCCCGTAGCCTGCCGCGTTCTTTCGCGTGCCGGTGGGCGGCAGCGTTGCCAGTGGGGCGCCCACCCCTCGCCCACCCCCCACGTTTGCACCTTCCGGAGCCAGCTCCCCACCTCGGGCCGTGGGTCGAGCGAAGCCGTTTGCGGGAGCCGGGCCCCCTTGGTGGACCCGCTGTCCTGCGTCCCCAGGGGGAAATCCGGGGGGGGGGCGGTTAGTTACCCGCAATTAACCAACCTACCCCTGGGACCTTCGGGGGGGTCGTGCAGCCGTGAAGCTGCTGCGCTTGCTCGGTGAGATAAAGCCTTAAGGCGGTGGCTCCCCGGGGTGGGGGCTTCCCTCCTCCGTGTTTCTCGGCGGCGCGGGTTTGGCACCGAGGCCAAGTGAGCTCTTTTCGCTGTCCCCAGGCAAGGCGCTGACGTTCCTGCTGCTGCAGCCGCCCGGCCCCAAGCTGCCGGCGCACAGCACCATCCGCAGAACCGCCATCGACCTCATCGGCCGCGGCTTCACCGTCTGGGAGCCCTACATGGACGTCTCGGCCGTGCTCATGGGCCTCCTGGAGCTCTGCGCCGACGCGGAGAAGCAGCTTGCCAAGTAGGTGTCTCGTTTATTCCCTCCCAACTATTGACCCGCACCGTTTCGGCCCCGTGGGGCGAGGTTTTGCGGCAGCTGGCTCAAAGCCCGTCGGCTTCGGGGCTCGGCGGGGAGGTGGGGCGAGGAAGGTGGGGTTGGAATCGCTGCCAGTTTTTGCGGTCGTGCCCGTCCCCTGGGAATGGCGGTTTTGAAGCCCTGCTTTGGCCTGGCGCCGTTCGGGGACGCGGCGGCGGCGCTGAGGGTCGCCCCGTCGCAGCTGGGGGGGGGACCGGACACTCGCGTGGCATTGCCCGGGGCTACAGAGCATTAACCTTCTGGGTCGTATTGCCAGCCGTTTTGAGAAAAGTGATTCAAACCTCTTTTATCCCTAAAATACGTCTGTCTGTCTTCACCGTAATATTTTTCTGTAACATTTCTGAACTGTAAAAGTAGTATTTCCAGAAGGTATTTTCCACCGGTATGTCCAAAAACGTGGATTTATTTATTCCCCCCCCCCCCCCGTGGTTGTACAAACCACCCCGTTAGGATGTGAATTTTTTTTGGAAAAGGCGGTTCTTTTCTCACCAGCAGCGCTCTTCCTAGCAGCAAGGTAACTTGTGGATTTAAGGATTGCTAAGAAATCATAAACTCAATAGAGCACAGCCTGTCTCTGGGGTCAGAGAACAACTTATTAAAGTGTCCTAAATCGAGATTTATATGCTGTGCTGTCCTGTACCTCTCTTCTAACCTCCTTGAAATAAAATCTCATTTCAATCAGGGGTTTGTAATTGGAGCGGGGAGGTCGGCGGGGGCAGATTTCGGGGGGAAGTCTGATGCCTTGCCACAAAAAGCACAGCAAAAACGCGCTGCTCGTTCTAATCGCCTGTTTTGTGCGTGTGGGACTCGTGAGCCCCTAGTTGTTCCATTGCTTAAAAATTCCGAGGATCGTGCTCCCCGCGATGCACACACAGCTATGTGCACGGGTTCCCCCGTTCCATAGGGCCAGGTGCCACCAAATAATTATGGCTAAATCAAATACTTATGGCTAAATGCCGAAGGGAAGGCATTAAGATGTCCCGTGTAACAAAGGTAGCGTCCTGCCCTCTTTTTTTTTTTTTTTTTTTTTTTCCCCCCATGCATTTTGCCCTCAGATAATGGAATTCTCCAATATTAGCACCTGGGATTTATTTAATGTGGGCAACTTTGCCGGACACGAGTAGCATTTTCGTTGAGTATCCAGGAATTTTATGATCTGAGGCCTAAATGTAATAAATTTCAGCCGGGGCCCCGATTCTCACACGAACAGTCTTTACTCACCCCATTAATCTGATTAATGACAACAGGACTATTTGCACAGGAAAGGGGGTTTGCGGTATAGTCCTTATTTTTATTCTTGTTTGTTGTGAGATTGATCAGCTCGTCTGAAATTTATTCTAAATCTCTACCTGAACTATTTTTTTCTCTCTTTAGTTTTTATAGAAGAGAAAGCAAGCCGCTTAAACGTGCAAAAGGAGAGACTGATTTCTGTGTGTGAATGAAGAAAAAATAAAAAGCCGCTATGGGAAGCGGCCACAGTAAGCCGCTTATAGGAAATAAAACGGTGATGCTATGCTTTATGTAATTGGCTCTGAAAGCTATTTCAAGCTTCCTGCTTTTAATGAAAAACCTTGAGAAATCCGAGTGGATAAATATTGGTGCCGCTGCGGCAGCATTTTCATCTGTAGGTACAACTCAGTCCCCGGTTAGGACGTACGGAACGTGCAGCTCCTGCTCGAGGTAGAGGATTGCCTTGAGCAAATAGAAATTTCCTTTTTTTTTTTTTTGGCTCGCCGGTGTGAATTAATACCGTTGTATGCTTCAAGTTCGGTGGGCATCCACTTGGAAAATGACTCGTTAATAAAAATATTTCCATTTAAAACTCGTTTTCAGCGCCTAAAACGGAGACTAACATAGAGCTGGTGGTTTTTCCAGCAGCCCCTCAGCAGGTTGTTGCTGCCCTCACCTCCCCAGAGCTGCGGGAATGTTCCCAACAGGGGATTTTTAACCTGTTCTGTGCTTCGTTTTGCCTTGAGGTGGCGCTTGCTGCAGAATGTTTCAATTAGTGGCGTGCCTAAAGAGTTAATCTGTGAGCCACTCAGGAATTGATAAACCGTTCGTTTAACGGGGAAACAATTTTCTTCCTAAAGGAAGAGGGCTGACTGGCCTGCCACGTTTTCTTTGCAAGTTTTTCGCTTGGGTGGTTAAAAAAAAAAATAAAAAAAATAGTGTCTGAAATTGCTGAGGTCGTCATAATTGCTTATTTAAGTATTAATTTTACTGTATTTCTTTTCATAAAATGCAGAGGTTTGGTTTTCAGCGGGTAGTATTTTGCTTGATGGCTTTGCTGATGTCTGGCAAGCTTTCTGGGTATATCCTGAAGGAGAGTTTTACGTGGATGGAAAATGGCAGTAGTGCTTGAAAACTTTTTTTAAAACTGCAGTAGGTCTTCAGCGGCCAGGTGGACATTCATCTACGTGAAAAGCTGCGTGTTTAGCGGAGGGAGGGGGTGTGCTTAGCCTACAGATGTTCTTGCTTACGGCGTTGCAGTAATAATATTTCTTTAGGTATGAAAAAAAAAAATCCTTAAACAATTAGCCGGTTTTCTGGTTTATTCTAAGGCTATTGTTTGCTAAATCGCAGTAAACACTGTTTTTCTATGTCTCGCTGTGAAACTAGAATTCCCTTCTAATTAGCAGTGAGGTGGTTAAACTCTGTAGTTACGTTTTCGGTTACTTTTCTGCTCTAGACAGGAATTTCTTTTGCTTGTCACAGTCAGCTAACCTCAGGATCCAGTTTCAGATCGTGCAGTTCCGCAAGCGGCCCCGCCGTCGGGGAATTTGACTTTCCAGCTGTTTTTACAAACGCTCGTGTATAGACAGACGCGCATTTCAAGCGACAGAGAACCCCCCAGGGTTGTCTTAGTGCCACGTATGCGGTTTTGTCGTCCGCCTGGGGAGGCGTGAAGGTTTCTGACTTTTTTTACATTGCTTTAACACAGATATGAGCCGTTTTATTTAACAGTTCCCATTTTCTGAAGATTTAAAGAATGACTGATCGCCCTGTGTTTGGGGGGGGTGGGTGTTAATGGAGAAATACAAAGTGGATTAATATTGTTATTTGTCTTCCAATTATTTCTTGCGGTGTGACAAAAGAAACAAAAACGTTTTGCCCTTGCAGAGAATCTCCTAAGCCCTATTGTATGTAAATACGGACTTTCAGAAGCCAAGCGAACACAGTCCTTTGGAAAGTCATTTTCAGCTTGCGATGACATCCTTAGCTGTCAGAAAGATTAGTATGGCTCTCTATCCACGGAGCACTGAATAAATGAATGTATCAGCATGTAGCCCTGAGGAGCCCAGTGCAATTTTCATCGTGATAAATTGCATAATAAGCGAGAAAGTGTTTGCTTATTAATCCATAACAAGATTTAGATTGAAAATGGCCTGTTACGTTCAGGGCGGATACAGTACCGACCGCAGGCAGAGCAAGATGGAAAGAAATAGAGCAGCGACGTGTGCAGGGGGTTAAGTGTGCATCTCACCCTCCCGGTGCCCTGCTGAGCTGCCCCTTTTTGTGCCTGATTTACCGTGTACACAATAACAGCGCGCAGCTGCCCGGCTTCTCCCTGATGTTAAGAACATTTTATGAAAGAGCTTTTATGTCGAGCTTCTGCTTTAAGGGGGGGAAAAAAAAAAAAAAAAAAAAAAAAAAAAATCACTTCGCGTTTATTGAGCGAAAAAAAAAAAAAAACAAAACAACCTACTAGTGTTTTTTCTTTTTTTTCTCCCTTCTGAATTAAATAAATATCTGAGCTGTTAACCAAAACTCTGGTATTTATAACACCTCCGCTCTCCCAGTTCATCCTAGTCCCCGAGGGTTATACTGTGCTAGCCTGCCGTGCCAAATGAAGCTGCTCAGTTGTGAGGATTAAGAGTATTTTTTTCTAGCATTTATTGGGCTTTGATTTCTTGGCAGGGATGATGGTGGGGATCACTGCTGGCCATTATTTTTGCTCTTTGAATTACAAGGCGCAGTTCGGTATAGATGATGATCTGATATACCAAAATTAGCAGATTGCATTCTAATCTATCCACATGTTTATATATATATATATATATGTGTGGGGGGGTGTGGCCTAAAATAATTAGCTAAATCTCTTTAGTTTTGATTGTGTTTAGTGGGAAACTTTACTTTTATATTGTTAGGGATTCTATCTGGGGAGCCGTAGGATATATAGTAGGGACATCCCTAGTTTTCAAGGACGGTGGAACATTTTTAGAACCTAGCCTAAACAATTGCTGGAATTGGGGGGGTTTAAAGGAGAAATGTGAGCGGGGTACCTGGTCCTAGACGTGGCAAGCTGCTGCGTGCTGCCGCTACGGAGCTGATTTAAACCTGGGAAGCGCCGGGATTTGGGTCCGTGCCGGTTCTGGTGTAGACCTTGGATTCCGGGAGGCTGGAGCTGAGCCGAGGCGAGCTGCGGTTGTCCCAGGAGAAAGGGCAGCTTTGAGCTTTGTGGAGTTTTCAGCTGGCATCGGGCTGTGGAAGTCGAGAGATGCAGAGATCCGACTGTTTTCCGTTCATCGCCACCGATACGTTTTTCCGCGGTATGAGCTCCAGCTCTTCGCGGGCAGCTTGGTGCTTGCCGCTCATTTTAAGAATCAGCTTTTTTTAAATGCACCTGCCTTACTTTTTGTAGACGGTGAAGTCCGTAAACATTACCCTGAAGCTGTGAGAACTTGTGCTGAACTTGAAAACGAGATATCTCTGAAACAAGTCTGTGTTCCTTTGAGAGCATTATCCAGCTAGCACGCGGGTTCCCAGAAAATTCCAGACGTGCGGGTTGCTGGCGGTTGGTGATGGGTTTGGGAGAGGAGAGAGCGTCACTCCCTGACGGTGCAGGTTAGTGGGCACTGAGGCTCAGCCTTCTGGAAATGAGGAAAAAGGCCCAAACAGAAGGGAGCGATGAACCCGGTGACCGCTGGGAGTTTTTCACTGCCGTCCGCAGGCAGGCTGGCGCGCGTGGCGGGACGAGCGGGGCCCGGCCCGTGGGTGAGGTGCACGGGGCTGGCTCGGCTCGCAGGGCAGGGGGGAGGTCAGGAGTGGGATGGTGGGGGCGAGGGGGCCGGCACGCACCGCCGACTTGGCTGAACACACGGCGGTCCCAGAGTCCCTGAATCTGAGCGCCGAAGTTTGGGCGGGAAAGCCAGCAGTTCCCTCCGGACGGTGGGTTTGCACCTGCTTCGCTTCTGTTCAAGTGAAAGGCCGGCGGGGACATCTCCGGTGCTGCAGAGGCTTCCTCGGCTTTCAGATTCAGGGGTTTCAATGCATACAACAACGGTGAGCGGCAGGGAAGAAAATGGTAAGAAACTTTGATTTGTATTTCTGTGAATTCAGAGCTGTAAAAGGGTGATCGGTCCATACCGCATCTTGTCGTTGCTCTGGGAAAAATGATCTGACAGCGAATGCTCTAACCGCCCTGAAGCTCTTTCTTGCAGAGTATTCAGTTTGTAAGCTTTCGCAATATTAAATCATATATTGCATATAGAATTCTTTTTCAAGACGCTTCAAGAAATCAAGAGGTGTCGTCCTCTATAGACACCTCTCTCTTTCTCTCTCTCTCAAAAACTAGAAGAATTAAAGAGATAAGTTATGTAACTGTTCCGTTACCCCATGCTACCTAAATCCTCTACAAAATCATAAACAGATTTTGCAGTAAGCTAGGTGGGTTTGTAAACTTCTGTTATTCCTTACCAAAAAAAAAAAAAATCAGAAGAGCACAGGGGGAGGAACCCCTTCAAATAGCGACGGAGAGGAAATTTTCAGGGCATCTGAGGAAGTGCCATGTCAGGCTTATTTTCTCTTACTCGCATTTGCACATGTGGTCTCTTGTGGAAGTGGTGTGGGATAAAAAAAAAAAAAAAGCACCTTTTGTGCTCCCCATCCTGGTTCTGAAAATGTCGCTTTCCTCCCGTCTCGCTTCCAAATATTGTAGGGGCCGGGCTAGGAAACACCAGAATACTATTTAGTTTCTGGTTTAGCCTGAAAGCAGAGCAGCTCTCAAATATTAATGTCACAAGGTGAGGAGGCAGATTGGCTGGCTTGTTTGGAGGGGTGGCTGCGCCCGGGATACGGGACACCTGGATCGTGATTTCCAGGCCTTCGGGGTTGGGTTGGTTTCTCCTTTCCCTCGTTTATTTTCAGAGCAAAACGAACCCGGTTGACCCTGATAAACCACTTTTGGAAGCACGTAGCCATGCTGAAGGGGTAGAAGTATGGACCGATGAGGCTGTTCTCTGTGACTCTGCTTTTATTTCCTGGGGCTTGCCTGCCCGGGGGGGGGGGGTTGCTGTCAACTTTCTGGTTTAAAGAACCCTTGAGGATGCTCTAAGGTGGAAGGAAGGGCTAAGCCAGCCCGGGGGGGTCCAAGGGAGTGGAAAAAAAGCTCTCCTGGCCCGTGGCCTCGCAGGGTGGGGTGGGCAGAGGTGGCAGAGCCAGCGGCAGCGGCACCAGCGGGGTTTGGAGTGTGTGAAGCGAATGTAGCGGGCGAGCCCTTCGGCGAAGGAGTAACCTGCTGCTCATTTGATGGGAGGTGGGAGGATTTGCTCCCTCCCCGAGCTGCCCGAACGGCGATTGCTGCCCCTGGTCCTGTGCAGAAGAATACTTCATTTCCACAGGAAAAAAAAAAAAAGAGTAAACATCTGTGTGTTGTTTGCTTTGTTGTTGTTGTTGTTCTGTTCCTGAATCTCTAGGTAAAATAACGAAGAGAACGGAGAGCTGAGGAGGGCTTTCAGGGCGTTCTCAAACACAGTTTTTCATGTAAAATCCATGCAGAATTGCCACGTATTCAGATGGTGGACTGATACCAGGAATGAGCAGAAGAAACTTTCTTTTGGTTTGGTTTGGTTTAAAACCAAACCAAAACAAAACAACACAAAACTTCTAGGGCTCCTCCTTGGTGGAAGTGTACTTCAGAGCAGCGGGATTGATCAGGCTCTGTGTTACGGGGAAACATTGAAATGTTTTAGAGGTGGCAAACTGCTCTGCGGTCTCTCTTCCCTTGCTGCAACAGTCGCGGCGGGTTCCTTTGTGGGCTGGGTGGACGTTTCGGGTGGATCCCAGGGCAGCTCGGTGCCCCGGTGTTCCCTGCCCTTCTGCAGAAGCTGGGTTCCATCTCGGAGCACGCCCATCCCCGATTTCCCCGTAGCTCTCCCCACCGTTTCTTGCCCTGTCCCTCTCCCTGCCGGGCTGCCTGCCCGCAGCGCCTCGAAGCCGGCGCTGAAACGCTGCTTTGCTCTTCCCTAACGCGCAGCCCTCGGCGCCCGAGTGCCTCGGGGTGCTGTTGGGAGTCTGTGCTCTCGCCTTTCGGCACGCAGCAGGTGGAGGTTTATATATTAAATAATTCCCTGAAGGCACCGAGCTGGTAGCTTGGAAGGGTCCCCGTGCTCTGGGCCCCCGGGCTGGCGGTGCTTCGGGCGGCCCGGGGGTGGGAGCGCGGGGCGGACTTGGAGAATTGCTGGATAACGTACAGTTAGCCCCCAAAAACCCGGGCTCTGCTGTGACATATAGTTAAAATAGTGCAGTTTTAAGAAAGGAAGCTTTCGGACAAAAATGAGCCTATGTGCAGTCTCTGTCACGCACGTATGCTCTCAGTTACTAAATACCGGATTTTATTTTTGCTTAAAGTAGTTACGGGGTACTTACTACCTGATTGTTTCTTGCATTAATCTTGTCATAGCAAATAAAAGCACCTCGCACGGGAAATTTAGACGCCAGTTGATCCCTTGCTGTTATTCGGAGAATTGCAGTTAAAACCTCGGTGTTAGAAATTCTAAAGGGCTTTTGAATAATTCCGGTGCTTGGAAAAGCATAAGGTGGGGGGCTGCCTGTCCATCCCATCATGCTGCTGCGACTGAGTCATGCAGTAAAGAAAATCAAACCGTATAGATTCGGTGGGTTTAGTTCTCCAGGAAGCTTCTTGCTTTTCTCACCTATAAGCAGTGCTTAGCTGAATTAAGGAAGAATTACTACGGACAGGGTATTTTTCAGCCCGCGTTTGAAATGCTGTAAAAGAATAAACCATAAATTCTTGGGAAGGCATTCTGTGTTTGCCTTGTCCTCAGTTGGGCGATATGTATTCAGCAGAGAGAGATAATTTGTTAACAAGGCCTTTTTAACACTTTGGACAGATGCACATACTGTTTTCAATCTTCATGGTTAATTATTCGATTTTGTATGTGATGATAGAACACCCTGACTCCTAATCACTCTTCATTGTTGGAAGTCCATTATATTCTAACTGTTTGAGTGCTCCCGTTGACCTTGAACTGACATTATAAGCTGTTCCTAATCTTTTCCCTCTGTATTTCTAACGCTCCTTTTCTTTCTTTCCCCTCTCTTTGTCCGGTGCCCGTTTAGCATCACAATGGGGCTGCCCCTGAGCCCGGCCGCCGACTCTGCCCGCTCGGCGCGACACGCGCTCTCCCTCATCGCCACGGCCAGACCGCCCGCCTTCATCACCACCATCGCCAAGGAGGTGAGCGGGGCCGCAGCAGCTCGTCCTCCTCCCGGCCTCGAGGCTCCGGGCTCGCCGGCAGAGACGGGGAACCGAAAGTCCCTCCCTTCTTCCCCGAGAAGGGAGACGGCAAGTGGGATTATTTGCCGATAGCCCAACCGCGCGCGATCCGTGACAGGAGCGCCGTTGAGCTGAGTGCCGATGGGTTGTGTCTGCCTTCATCTGTTCTGTCCTGCTCCTGTAACCTTCCACGAGCGCCGTGCTTCCCTTTAAGCGGTGCGCGCGCACAGTGAGCGTGAGCTTGGCGGGTGCGGAGGAAAGGGTTCGGTGCCGTGGGGTTGGTGTAGGCTGGGCACGGCCGGTCTGAGCAAACCCGGGCCCAGCCCGGAGCTGGGGCCGAGCCGAAACGGTGGGACGGGCTGCGGGGAGGCACCAGCCAAAAGAAAAAACCCGCTGCAGAGCAGGTGTCTGACACCCAAAGCTAACGTCCGGGCGTGCGAAAATCGAGTCACCGCGGCACTCGCTTATCTCGACCTTTAGTTCTAAGAGCTTAAGAATTACTGAAAACAGATAAGCCCTTGTTGAAAAACCGCACCAAGGGCAAGCATTACTCTACTCATCGTAAGGGGGCAGGGGGGGATAACCCACAGGTCTCAAAGGGAAGCAAAGCGTTCCTCCTGCTACCGGGCTCCCCTAATGCACCGTGAGCGCCGAGAGCGTGCGGGCGCGCGCGCGTAACTCCGCTCTCCGGTAGGTGCACAGGCACACCGCCCTGGCAGCCAACACGCAGTCGCAGCAGAACATTCACACCACCACCCTCGCCCGGGCCAAGGGAGAGATCTTGAGAGTCATCGAGATACTTATTGAGAAGATGCCCACCGACGTTGTGGACCTGCTGGTGGAGGTAAGGCTGCTCCGCCACATCTGCTCGTGGGTCTGGTGCAGCAGCGAAGAATGGGTTGGCCTGGAGGCGAATCGTAGGATTTTGTTCTGCGTGGGCCCTAATTGTAGAACCACAGGATGGTTGGGGTCGGAAGGGACCTTAAAGGTCATCTACTTCGAGCGCCCCAGGGACGCCTGCCACTAGCCCAGCTTGCTCAAAGCCTTTCTGTGGGTGAGGAGGATTTGTTTTCTACCACCCAGCTCTTTTTTTTTTTTTTTTTATTGAACGCTAGAAGCTTAAATCGCATTTAAATTGCATTAAATTGCATTGCTGGGAAAAAAAAAAAAAAAAAAAAAAAAAAAAACAAGCAAAAGAATTTGCTGGAGGTACGGTGCGCTCGTGGCTCCGGCGCCTGAGTGCGTGGGTGTGTTTACGCTAGTGCTGCCGACAGTTGTTGAGGACTGGTCCAGATGAGGCAGCGGATTTGCATCTTTGCTACCGATGCCGTGGTCACACCAGGGCTCCGGTAGCTTACGCTGACCAGTAGTTTGTTGGTTTAGAGCTGTTTACGGGTACTCTGAAGGGTTCCAGTTGTAAACTCTGTCATAAGCAAGAGACGGTTCCTGTTTGTTCTAGCCCCACTGTATTTTCAAGTTAGATACCAAAGGCGCAGTCGGGCACAAAAAAAGTCTCTCTTTTTGCCTGCTAGAACTTGTATTACGAAACACAACATACAGTGTGTCAAATGATTTTAACTTCTGTTTCCAAGGTTATGGACATCATCATGTATTGCCTTGAAGGATCTTTAGTTAAGAAGAAAGGTCTTCAGGAATGCTTCCCAGCCATCTGCAGGTGAGCTCTCCCTCCAAGAATACTGTGAAGCAAATTGTAGGGTCACCAGCAGGATATCTTTCTTTCTTAAGAGTGAAACCATCTTTTACACGATGCTTGCCCCTTAAAACAACAAATGGGAAGAGTGATTTTAGCTCGCCTCTGAGCCCTTGTAGGATTTTACTTCTCTGCCAGATGTGGATCAGAAAAGAAAAGCATTAGCGACTCCCTGAAGCCTGGATATATTTTAAAAGTCAAAAAAGAGGTAAATATTGTGCGATGTCATGAAAAATTCTGTCCGGCTACTCCGTTGGAACAGCCGTGCCAGCTGAGCAGCTTCCTCCAAAGGGTTCATCAATATCTTTGTCGTTAGAAAAATGAGAGTGATGCACTTGAGTGACAAGTTAGATGCCGATACGCACGACCAGCCTGGGTGAATTAGTTGCCACCGTCAAGGCGACTGGGGAAAAAAAGGCGATGGTGGCGGCAGAAGATAGGGATGAGGCTTGGGGGTGGTGTTGCCAGCCACACGATGTGGGTCGGCGAGTTTGGCCAAGTGGCAAATAAACTTTGAATTGCTTGGGGAGCTTAAGGGCTCTGTCCCAGATTTGGGTGAGTGGTGGGGCTGTGTGGTGCTCGGCTGCCCTCTGAGCTCAAGCTCTGGTGGAGAGTTTTAAGAATAAATGTTCTTCCCTGCTGCAATCCGCCTCGTGGGGTGGCAGCCGGGCTCGCCCCCCAAGTCCTGCTGAGCTCTTCACGGGGGCACGTGGCTGTGGGGAAGGGCGGGGAGCTGGAGGTGACGGATAAAAAAGCGCCGAACACCTTCCCGGCTCGGGGCAGCCCGGGCCCCTGCCTCGGTGAAACGACGCAGGTGAATTTGCCTGGAGGGCTGGGAGGGGGATGAGGAGGAGGAGGATGAGGAGGAGGATGAGGATGAGGAGGAGGAGGATGAGGAGGAGGATGAGGATGAGGATAAGGAGGATGAGGAGGAGGAGGAGGAGGAGGATGAGGAGGAGGAGGAGGAGGAGGAGGAGGAGGAGGAGGAAGAGGAGGAGGAGGAGGAGGAGGAGGAGGAGGAGGAGGAGGAGGAGGAGGAGGAGGAGATCGCCAGCCCGGGGCCAGTTCTAGTTGGCTCGTCAAGCGGTACTTTCACCCAGTAAAACCTGATTTATAAAACGGGGACACTTACGGTGTCTTTAGGCGATGATAAACACCCCAGTTATACTGTTAAACTGGTACAACCAATAAATTGTAATAATCATCTGTCGACCATTACGTTTTAATTTAATAGGCTATTAAAATATTGAATAGTTTCAAGAAAAGAACAATTATCCTGTTGACAGGTAGGATACTGATAGAGGTAATCTTCCTTCTTCCTAATACTTTAAAAGGCTTGCCTTAAAATAGAAATGCGAGGGTAAGTGGGAATTAGCGTAAAAACCTCCGTATTTCTCTTGTATTTTTATAGCGATGCGTTATCTTAAAACTTTGTTAAATTGCCAGTAATATTTCCTCTTCTACCTCCTTATAGCCACTGTAAAAATGACACAGCGCCCCGGCGATGCGGTCGCTCGGCCCGCGGGAAGTTCCCATCGGGGTTGTGGCAAACGCCCGAAGCCCTGGCGGGATCCCAAGCGGGGGCCCCCTCGCCGCCACCCCCCCGCTGCCGACCCGGGCGCTGTCGCTGGGCTCTTCCCGCCGGGCTGCTCGTGGCCACGCTGGCGAGCGTGCCCAGCGGCAAACCCGGGGCTGCCGTCAAGCGCCCCGGTGTCGTTTCTCTCGGGTTTTCAGCTGGTTTTTATTTTTTATTTTTTATTTTTTTTTCCTGGTGCACAAACGTGGCGGTTCGCGCTGCGACTGGCTGGGAGCGTGACTCGCCCCTGCTTGGCTGGTGGAGAGGTAAAGCCATCGCTGGGGATATTCCTGGGTATCCTATCCCCCCCCCACACACATGATTACAGCGTTTATTTTTTGGCACATTCATTCCTTACAGAGGATCACACCGCCTTTTGGCGTGCGCCGCGCAGACCCGTTCCCCGCCAAAGCAAACTGAGCGCCGAAGCGCGGCGCGACGGGGTCGGAAACGTTTCCGATGCTGCTTTTAAAATCCCGCGGGGCGATGCTGAAAGCGGCGAAATTGGCTTTGACCGGAGCGTTTTCCAGGTTCAGCGGCCGCGGGGCGAGTGGTCCCCGCCGGGCGGCTGAGTTAAAGCCGGCTGCGTAACGGCGTCGCCTCACCCAGGAAGGCAGATTAAATTTAAAATAACAAGCGGTTCACACGGCTTTCTTTACTAGGGAGCAGGCTGGCAGGAAGAGTGAGAGTTTCAAGGGTTAAGGAAGCGAGGCTGTACAACAAAACTTTATATCTTGATTATTTCCAGGATTTTGGAGAGTATGTTTGAAGGAATCCGAGTCCGTCAGCTGGAGGTGCTGTTGGGGTAATGCTCAGGGGAGCCTGAAGCCTCATTCTGTAGCAGGGAAAGAAAAAAGAATGAAATGTAGAGTAGGACTGAAGAAATTATAATCCAGAACCCCTCTGGCTATTGTAAGATACTGATGTTTGAAATGCAAATTTAATGAAGCCGTGATGTTAATCAACAAATTCTTTTTAATGAACACTTTGCATCCCATTGTTGTGCTAGAATGTTAGGGTTTGGTTTTTTTTTTTTTTTAAAAAAAAGTTTTATAACCCCTTCGATCCTTCAGGAAGCCAGTGGGGCCTTTGCTGGGCCAGTGGCTTTTCCAGTATGAGCCCAAGCCCACTAATATTTGGTGGCAGAAAACCAGAAAAAAAAGATAATTTTCCTCCCAGGTCCTTAAGGCAGGCTCGCCGGCGGAGCGGGGCTGGGGCAGCACCCGTGGGACGGGCCCCTGCGTGGGGGGTGCCCCGGCCAGGCTTGCAAAAAGGGATTTGTAGCGTACTGGAAATCTGTGCTGGCGCCTGGTGCCCTCTTGCACTCTGCCATCATTAGGTTTAGAAAAGGGGGGTGCAAAGGATCCCCGCAGTTAAATCTGTGTGCGGCTGGAACAGTGCTAAGCTGACTGAAAGGGAAAGAATGAGGCTGAAGAGCTGGCAACTGAAGGACAGTTTAAAGACTATTTTTATTTTTTTTTTTTGGAAGAGCAAACTCAAAAACATCTATTTCCATGAAGCTTTTTTCCCCCAAACGCTCTGTGGTTACGTAGTCTGATGGATTCCTCTTTTCAAAGGAAAATACTGACTCAGCGCTCTGTCTAAATGGGCATTTAAATGCAGCGAGGAGAGAAATGCTGTTTGCTTACATAAAAGAGTACAGGATATTCTCTTTCTAAATCTATAGGAGGAGACAAGTGGCCTGCGCCCGCTCAGGAGCGTAATGGAATTAATGGGGATATAAAACATTCTGTAGGGAAACTTTCTGTTGCGGTCCATTGTGCTTGCACTGATCGAGCAGCGGGTGGTTTTTTTAGAAGTTTATCTAGAAACCCCGAGCTTGCTGGTTGTATCAAATAGCCTGGAAACCAGCCCCCTCCCTGCTCACCTGGGGCACCGCTTGCAGTGTGCACGTGTTGGTAGTTTGATGTGAAACGGGGCAAAACACCAGGGCCCCCCCCCCCAGTTGCAGCCCCACGCTTTATCCACCACGTACGGAGAGGCTTTAGACCCTGCGGGGACCTGTTCGCCCACACCGTTATCCTCTTTTTCTCTTCTTTTATTTTTTTTTTTTTTTTTCTCATGACTGGCTCCCGCCTTGTCTGCCCCCGAGCTCTTTCCCAACAGCTCTTGGTTTTTTTCTGAGCGCTCCTTTTTGTCTTCTTAATTGAGAAAGTATTATTCTGCTTTGGTGGCTATCATTATTATTATTATTGTTGTTGTTGCTATTATCATTATTATTATTATTGTTGTTGCTATCATCATTATTATTATTATTGTTGTTGCTATTATTATTGTTGTTGTTGTTGTTGCTATTATTATCATTATTATTGTTGTTGTTGCTATTATCATTATTATTGTTGTTGCTATTATTATTGTTGTCGCTATTATTATTATTGTTGTTGCTATTATTATCATTATTATTGTTGTTGTTGCTATTATTATTATTGTTGTTGTTGCTATTATTATTATTGTTGTTGTTGCTATTATTATCATTATTATTGTTGTCGCTATTATTATTATTATTGTTGTTGCTATTATTATTATTATTATTATTGTTGCTATTATCATTATTATTATTGTTGGTGCTATTATTATCATTATTATTATTGTTGTTGCTATTATCATTATTATTATTGCTGTTGCTGCTGTTATTATCATTATTATTTTGCTGTTATTATTACTACTACTAGTAATATCATTATTCTCAATAATAATAGTAGTAGTAAATGACAAGCTCGTTGTGGGGCCCCCACTGACCAAAGGCGGGTTGATGGGGCGGACGCTGCCCGCAGACGGAGCTGATGGAGATGGTACGTGGCCCCGGGATGTTACACGGGCCGGGGGGGCTGTGCCTCACCCGGGGAGGGCCGATGGGCACGGACAGACGGACAGACACAAAGTGCATCTCAGCTACCTAGCCTTGCCCTTTCTCCCGCGCAGCTAGGGATTTCCTTTCTTTTTTTTTTTTTCTTTTTTAATTTTTTTTTTTTTTGATTTTTTTTCCCTTGTTTTTTTTCCCTCTAACACCACGTTTCCTGCAGTTTTTCTTCCCGTCTGCCATCCGGCGCTGTAGAACCGAGTGTCTCACTCCTGCAAGAGAGCAGTTGCTATGGCACTGTGGAATCCTGAAGAACGGGGAGATAGATGGTTGTGAGGTTTGTTGCTTTAAGCCATAAATATGGTCAGCAACACATTTTTGTATAGACTGAGTCCAGAAATCGCCGGCAGACTTTATTATGGTAAAATTTAACTGTAAAAATAAAATTTAATTGGAAATGCAGTTGGCAGTTTTCACGGGTCTGTTCTCCTTTTTATAAGAAAGGCACAATGATATTCCCAAAGATTTGAATTTGAAATGAGGATTTTGACTCTCTCGTGTTTCAGGGTGCAGAAATCCCTTGAATTTTGCAATTGTTTGAATTCAAATCGATGCCATACGGTTACACTGGACAGCAAGGACTGTTGCGGGTTTCTTGGCTCCTCTTCACCTGGAGGATGTCCCTGGATTAACGAGCACTTGATGAATTTTCCCTTTTTATTTTTTGATGCCAACCGAAAATGTATGAGTCTGCATATTTTTCCTGCCGCTTTCTCTCCCTCTTTCCCGTTTGATTCTCGAGCAGTAGCGCTCTGAAATAATTCAGGGTGGTAGGTTGTCTTGAAATTTGAGGTCCAGCATTATCGTGGCAGTCCACTGTAAACGTGGTACACCCGTGGGCACTGGGGCACCTGGTGCGTAGCGCGTAGATTCTTCCCAGACTCCGTGAAAGCGCTCAGCGCTGCGCGGTAAAAATAAAGAAACCTGATGTGAATCGGTGGGGATGCATCAAACATCAGCGGGCTTTTGTTTGCTGAATGCCAAGTAGGAAAACTGGCAGCTGATGGAGATTTTTTTTTTTTTTTTTTTTTTTAATTTTTTTTTTTTTAAATCAAATCTCTGTTCCAGCACTGCTGTTAATTACCCGGTGGCGTTGCAAATTAATTTCCCCGGCGCGCAGGCAGGTCGGGTCTCACCTGTTACCTGTTCTGATGTTCCATTCAGGTTCTACATGGTCAGCTATTACGAGCGGAGTCACAGAATAGCGGTGGGAGCTCGCCATGGTTCAGTGGCCCTCTACGACATCCGGACTGGGAAATGTCAGGTAAATAAATCATTGTGACTTCCCCCCCCCCCCTCCCGTGAAGTGTGGAAGTTATTGAAAGGAAAGAGCAGCGAGCTCTGCGTCGGTTGACATGCTGAGCTGCTGGAACGTTATGGATAATGCCGAGGGGATCAATAGTTTAATGAAGGCCTCAGAAGTATATAGAGCCCTACTGTCTTCACTCACTGGAACCGAAGGGGTGCCACCCATGGGTTAATAATGAAAGCCCAACGGTAGGCGATACCTCTGCTCGGAAATAAATGAAAAAAATCGGATTTTTAAAAGCGCGGGTTTATAGCGGGATCCTTATCTGCTGTAGAAGTCACAGAGCAAATCTGCTGAGGTTTTGTTCGGTTTTGGTTTGGTTTTGTTTTGGTTTGTTTTTTTTTTCCCCAAAACTCCTCTCTACAAAATGCCACGATGCTTAGGTTTGAGGTATTTACAGTTTTTCTGAGGTTAAACAAGGTACGTATTTTCTTCTCGGTGACCTAGAAGAGGATCTATTTAAGCATAATGTTGGAATGAGTGCTTGGAATTCAAAATGTTTATATGACAAAGTGTTTGCCTTTTTTCGAAAAGTTCATTGTTGATGTTCTTCATTATTCCCTGTACTATGTGATCAGTTATTATTTCTCATTGAATTTCGACAGCCTTTACGTAAAGCTTGGATAAAATACCTGCATTTTGAATCTGCCTTCCTCCCTTCGTGTGTGCTTAAATATGGGGGATTTTTTCTGTTGTTTCTCAAAGCTGTTCTCTTTATTCCCTACGAAACGTGCAGTATAGGGAAGGTGGGGTAGATTTCTTCCTGCTAGATCCGCAGGGTCACGCCGCTGTGCTGGCGGAACCGCGGTCTACGTGACTGGTTCATTGCTTGCTCTGACACTCTGGGGTTTATTTTCCAAATCCAGTCGCTGACAGCGTTGTGTGTTCGCTATTTTTTGTTTAGACACCCATCCTCTGGAAGCCGGGATGGCCAGATTTATTTTATAAATAGCTGGATAACGCAGGCAAAGAGGAAATGTGGGCTGCTCTATCTCGGTTTAGCTTAAGTCGCTTGGGTCATGATTTATTCATTTACCTACAAAACGAGCCCCCCAAGAGCTGCGTGTGCTGATATATCCGGTGTCTCTGGCCCCCTTCCACGAGAACCACCCCTCTGGCTGGATTTGCCCAGCGTGGTAAAACACCCCGGGTTTTCTCTTTTTTACCTTTCCCGCCCGTTCTCTGCGAGGTTCCTCTCTGAGCCTCCCGGGGCTCCGCATTTCTACCAGGAAACTGTCCGAGGGATTCGCCCGCCTCGCCTGAGCTGGTGCTGAATGTTCACGGCGCTTGGTTTCTTGTTTTCTTAAGACGAAGCTTCCACTCCAACCACGGAAAGCGGAGGTGGGTGTGACTGTGAGGGGACTCGCGGGGTGGCTAGGGCAGGGTGCTTTGCAGATTTTTTTATTATTATTATTATTCATGAGACAGGAAAATTTGGTGAGTGCCAGATATGATTATTAGGGGGCAACGCCATCTGTTGGATGCAGTTTTTCTTATTGCAAATCTGATCTTTGAAGTTATTTCTCACAGTTGCAGATTTCAGGCTGCTCAGAAGATGGGAAAGAACTCCAGGATTGACGCGGTGAAAAAGTTTTGAAATTGGAAAGAAGCTCACATTTTAGTTTTTGGGGGGGTTTTTTTGTTTTTTTTTTACAGAAGTTAAAGCCTTCCAAACGGTCCATCAGATTGTTTGCATTGCCGTGGCGTGCTTAGCTCGAGCACGGATGGGGGCGCGTGCCTGGGGCCCTGCCGTGACGCGGAGCGGGCACCTTGGCCAGGCTCCCTCCCCCCCCGCTCTCTTTTTGGGACCTTTTTGCTTTCGATACGAATTGCTGCTTCGTTTCTACCCAGAAAAATGTTGGTCTGCCGCAGGCCATCCTCTAGCTTAAGCTCGTTTGGTTTCTTTGTGACGTTTCTTGAACAATATTACCGGAAACGCGCTATCAAAAAATGGCTTGGCCGTTCATTGTTTAAAAATAGGTGATTTTTTGCATCTTTTCCTGAAGCCATAAACATCATTTCGCGTTTAAAAGTGGGAAATACATACGAAAGTTTTATTAGTTGCCCCATCACAGCTCACGCCTGCGCTTGCCTTAATCAGGCCTCAGAATTACCGATTGGCTAAGAAGAGGGGGGGAACTGCTTTCCCCACCTACCCCCCCCCCTTTATAGTCATCATGAAGGGTGTGCACTAATTGCAATTAGCGCTGGGATGGGCAGAGGGGGGCACAGTCGGGGGGGGGGGGCCGCTCCTGCCGCCGCGGGGGCTGGAAGAGCCGCGGGTTCCTCCACGCCCGCTGGAAGGGCGTGCCAGCGTGTTGATGCCTTAAAATATCAAAAGTTGGAAATTCAGTGGGTTGGTTGTTTTTTGGTGTTTTTTTTTTTTAAATTCCCACAACGATAGAGTTGTGCCTCCTTAAGTCTTCGCACCACTGTTGACTTTTAGCTGAAATAACCGGTTCCTCTCCTTGGTTTTTACCCTTCTGCCTTATTTACAGGCAGCCTTAGTGCTCGCTTCCAGCCTTTGGTTTTGAAAGGTGCAGAGGACTCTCAAAACTCCTCGTCTATAACACACTCTCCATTTTTTTCAGCCCTTCTTAAGCAAAACCAGTCATCTGTGTTGGGGGCCGCACGTGGACCGCCTTCGGTGTTTATGCCAGCCTCCCTGCCGAGCTCCCCCAGATCTTCTTTCCCTTCTTGTCTCCCGTGAAACCAGAGCTTTGAAAGGCATTTTATCGGAATATTACTTTGCCAGATGAAACCGCACCCCAAACCCCGTGGTTTTGACGCGTCGCTCTCGTGCCCCGGGCGTGTTCCTGTAATGTAGGGCCTCCTCTTCCCCCTCCAGATGCGTTACTCGCTCCTGAGGCGTTTTTTGGTGGTTTCCTACCAAATCACCGTGGGGGGGGGGGGTCCTTGTGTCGTCAAACCCCCACAGCTCAGGAACTCGCGTGGGGAGGTGCACGTTCAAATTGATCTTTTCTTTCACACGGAAACCGGGCCCAGGGAGTAGCGGCTCTGAAGAGCGCTGGGGGGGGGGGGGGGAAGGGGGGAGAGAAGCTCTCCGTCAATTAAAGCTTTTCAACTTTAATTAAAACCTCGGCTTGTGGCAGCAGCTGTTGCAGGCGGCCGGCATCCCTCTGCTCAGCCCAGCAGGCTGTTGTCCCGGCCCCGCGGAAGCCGGGGGGGTCGGTGGCACTGTTGGGGTGTCACCCACCTCCTGGGCCGGGAGGGCGGTGGGGTGTCCCCTCCGGGGGGGGGGGGGGGGTGGGGGGGTGTCCCCCTCACCTCCATCCCGCTGTCTGTCCGGATGTGTCACCTCTTCCTTTCTCCTGGAACCAAACATCATCTTCCTCCCCAGCCGCTCCGCGCAGGCTCCCGGCTCTGCTGCTTCAGATGGGAAATCTGCTTTTTTGGGGGGGGGCAACATCGCCCCTTCCTGAGACGGAGCTGGGGGAGCCGGGTTTGCCTTGCTCCCGAGATGCCGGAAGGGGAAATATCAGAAATCCTCATAAAAGACAAGAGATTTCCCTCCTTGCGCTTGCTTTTTGATTTTGTGATGTTGGCGTTGAATAATGCATGAGGCAGCAAGCTGGGAACTTAGCACTGTGCGTACTAACGTAGTTACGGCGATAAAAATAAAGCTTAAAAAGTTAGGTTTTCGTATCACGCAGCCATGCTAAAAAAAACCAGAAAACAGAAAACAAACAAACAAAAACAAAAAAAAAAAAAACAAAAAAAAAAAGAAAAAAAAAAACAAAAAAAAAAAAAAAAAAAAAAAAAAACAAACCACAAATCAAATAAATCAAAATCCTTTCTCAGTTGAGTTGGCGGCAGGATCTGAGCGGTGTGGGGTTCTGTGCCACTGAAATTATGTCACAGATTTAACACAGGCGGTAGAAAAATTTGCAGGAATTAGCAGCAGCAGAGCCAAGCGCTGGCCTAAATATGCACCCTAAATGCAGTTACTTTCTTTTTACGCTATAGGTGGAATAGGCTGCTAACGACAGGAATTTTATGACCTTCTTGCAGGAAAAAAGGAGGCATTTTAACAAAAATGGTTCGTAGTTTTTTTTTTCCTTCCAGCGCATGTTTATTTTGTTTTCAAGAAAGGTGGTTGCCTGGACTTGACTGAGAAATTGCACCTAATGATTAAGAGAATGATGGATGTCAAGAATCACCTTTTTTAACAAATAATAAATCAGCATTTATATAGGATAGGTTTTCTCCAGTAAAATTTACTATATTAGTATCGCTTATTTAACAAGGTGTCAATTATTAATACTGCCAGTAAAGTTATCTGCATTTCGGTATTTTGCTTTTGCTTTCCATTACTGCTGCTGTGCAGGTGTGTGTGTTAACTTGTGAATTCTACCTAACGTTTTAAAAGATAGATTAGTAATCATAACATCTCAAAATGTCCTACATTTAAGCTTAATTTTGAGGAAATTCGCATTTCGGGGGGTGGGGGGGGTTTTAAAACGTTAAATCAGAATGAAAATTGCAACCCCTTTGTATTGTATCATGAGTATTCCAAATGCATTGGGTCTTTATTTTTTAAATCTCTTTTTTTTTTTTTTTTTTCCCAGCATTTAATAGAGAAATGAGGTTGCCCCTCTCTCTTTTCCGTGCCGTCGCTCACCCAGGCTCCCGCCGCGCTCCCAGCGGCCGACACGGGGGGGGGGAGCGGGGCCGCGGCCCCTCCCCGTGGCGCCGGATCGATTTGCCCTTCAGCTCTCGGCAGCGACCCGGGGCCCTGCTGTTGATTTTTCCACGCGCCGTCCACGCGGGCACTATTGACCCGTGGCTCGTGGTTTCCCGCGCCGTCTCCGTGACGCGGGTGATCAAAGCCGACGGGCTCGTTGGGGCGCGGCTCGGGAAGCCGCCGTGGAGCGGGGGCCGCCGGGCTGGGGGGGGGGTTTGTTCTCGGGTCGTCCGGGGACCCGCGGGGCGTG